TTTTCTGGCTGAATCCAGCACACTGACTTAAGATCTAACTCATGCAGATTTTCCCAGACAGGGTGGGGAGGCACCTGGACAGGTTGCCCAGAGAAGCTGTGGATGCCCCATCCCTGGAAGTGTCCAAGGCCAGGCTGGATGAGGCTTGGAGCAACCTGGTCTAGTGGAAGGTGTCCCTGCCCATGGCAGGGGGGTTGGAACTAGATGATCTTTAAGGTCCCTTCCAACCCAAACCGTTCTATGATTCTGTGATTTTAAAATCCACAGATGTGGTTAAGCTCTTCACTAAAATCTCCTGATAGCTTCCCTAAATTAGGGTCTGCAAAGCTGACAGTAGTAAAGGAAGTCACCTATGTCAGGAGACTAGATCACCAAGGACCTGGCAGTAGGTGATCAAGGATGAGTAGGGAAAAGGCTGTGTTTTTACACCTCTCATGCATACCAAACCAAGGCAGGTCTTGATAAAAGCCCTGGTGATGCCTCTGCTGTCAGTCACAGATTAGGCTACCATTGGCTCTGATGATTTTATAGACTACAATAACTTTGCACTGCCAAAAATCATTACAAAGAAATTGTCTTAAAAGATTAATCATGGTGTTCAAATTGTTTCTTTCTCTCTCCCTTGGGGATATTGCCCCTTTGGCAGGTTTTGAAGTTTGATGCCTATTTCCAGGAAGATGTTCCTCTCTCCGCAGAAGAGCATTACCGGATCCGCCAAGTGGGCATCTATTACTATTTGGAAGACGACAGCATGTCTGTCATAGAGCCTGTTGTGCAGAACTCCGGTCTTTCTCAAGGCAAACTTATCAGACGTCACCGAGTGCCCAAGAATGACCGTGGGGATCATTACCACTGGAAGGATCTGAATCGGGGGATGGACATCACCATGTATGGCAGGACGTACCGCATAGTGGACTGCGACCCGTTCACACAGGTGTGTTGCTTGTGCAGAGAACACCAACACAACGGATCCCGAGAGTTACAGGTGGCCAGGCCTGTTAGAGTCTGGTAGTTGGCATTTCTGGCTTTCACAATAAGGTTGTTTGCAATCTTTCTTTTTGCTTTTTGTGGGGAATTTTTTCTTTAGATCAAAAGTTCAAGCTGTATTTGCTGAAGGCATGTCAATGGCTCAGTATTTTTGTCCCAGGGCTGCTGGGAGTCCATCCTTTGTCCTCAGAAATGGCCCTTACTGTACAAATCCCCTTATTTCTGTGTGAACAGAATCGGTCTAAGCTCATTTCTATGTGTACAAAATTTTAACTGCTTAGAGCCCAAGTGAAACGTTGTGTGTATACGAAAGGGAAGTTACTGATCCTAACTCTTTTCTGACTTAATGCTCCTCTGTTAAGAATAAGGGAAAGGAATGTAGTCAGTGGCTCTGAACCCATCTACAGCTAAGCCAGAAGGGCAGTCATGATCCGTAGGTTGAGAATCATGGCATGAACTGACCTTTCTAAGAGAGCTTACTCACTGCCTGCTTTTCTATTTCTGGCTATTTCTGTACCAGTAAATGAAATAATAACAACCCAGTAACAAGTAATAGCAAATACCAGTATAATAGTATCCTGTTAGGCTGTTCCCAGTATAATCACAACCATGGAGAACTACTGTTCTTCCAAGCAATTCCCCGGGAGCAGTCCAGGAGTTAGAATGCTCCAGAGACCATTCCCAAGAGGTGAGTTACATGCAGCCAACCTGTCCTGGAGGCTGAGGGATGCAGACCGTTCCTTACCAGTTGCCCTCAGTGCTCAGTTATGTTCCCAAGCACGTTTAATGTATTGGTATGTATGTGGCTGTTGAGAACACGTAGGGCCAGCTCTGCTGGAACTGAATGACTGTTCAATTCGGTTCACATGTGATGAAAAGCCGGTTCTCATGTTAATGTTGGTTGGTTGATGGAAAACATGAAATGAGTTCACATCTCAAGGCCACTAGTCTATTTATGATTAACTGGCATCCTCCAGACCAGAACACAGCAAGTTTGAAAGTGTGAACCTGCCTTGTGAGTCTGCAGGGTGATCTCACATGCAGGTTGGAGATGTTTGCATAGGTGGTTCCTGAGCTGAATGTTTTCATAGGCCACTTCCCAAGGCCAAAAAGGGAAGAAGTCCATTGACTTCAGAGGCAGTTTTGGGTGACTGATGTAAGAACACACCCTAGAGTTTGTTGATACATCTGAGGTAAGCAAAAAAATCTCTTTATAATCAACCAGATTGTCCTCTTTCTGTGGAAAAAGTATTCCTCCTGAAAGATGAAGCTGCCACTCTGCACATATCCTCATGGTGTAAAGGGCCTCGGTGGGTCTAGTGTGGGTAACACTCACGTCCACTCTGACACACTGAGGAGCCCTAGGTCTCTTCCAAATTCCAACTGACTATGTTTGTGGTTATGCACTGATTTAATCTTTTTGGTTGACATAAAAGAGCTCAACTGACAGTTATCCTCCATTTAAAGCCCTAAGGCCAAGGAAAACTGTGCTCAAGTAAAACCTGAGTTAGGATGTTGAAGACAGGACTGCCCTGAGGAATTAAAGGTGAGCAAAGCTAAGAAGCAGCTTAAACAGAATCATCTTGGTTATCTTCTATTGTATTTGCTACTGCAGTAGAACTAATATTCCCGCAGCCTGGTGGTCTGTGAGGAAGGAAACTGCAGTGTTGTGACTACACTCATCGCAGCCCATCTGTAATCTCTAGTTACCTCTTACCTTCCGAACTCATGGCAGCATTAATACCTCAGATGACCTTCCTAGGTGTTCCTGGAGAGCCAAGGAATTGAACTGAACCCTCCAGAGAAAATGGTTTTTGATCCTTACACGGAGCTGCGTCGGATGCCCATGCACAAGCACATCACACCATCAGATTTCGACAAACTCAAACAGTTTCTGACTTACGACAAGCAGGTGAGAGAGCTGGTAGTGATCACCCACAGTACAGCCTGTGTGTGTCACTTAACGTGTGGCCTTGTGAGTCTCTGAAACCTTACTCATTCTAAAAAATCTCAGTCCACTGCACAGACTCCAGATTTGCTCCTTTCTTGGCTTCAGTGAGAAACAGAACCTTTTATGTTATTGCTGGGCTTTGTGCCTTGTGAACAGCTTCTCTTTGGATTGCAGAGCCTATACTCTAGATCTTTCATTTCTTTCTTGCTTTCTGTTGGGGTAAGATAAGCCACCTGCCTGGGGAAGTTAGCAGCCAGATGCAGTTCTCTTATGAACGAGCACGCTGCATCCACTCCTCTCTTCCCCCAAAACATTGATGCCCAAGTGGACAATTTCAGACTAGCACAAATGCTCTGTTTGAGTTCTCCCTGTGCACACAGTTGACTAACACTTTCCTCTGGATCTTCTTCTTTTCATCGAGCAACAACGTAAGAAACCAATATGCTACATCCGTACTAGGAAATAAAACGGTACTGGGACATGACCTGAGTTCAGTCAGTTCCTGGCCATCAGCTAGGTGTTAGCACAGGCCAGGGTCACATCCACTTGCCATTTTGGATATGGTCACCCTCTTTTCAGGGAAGCGGACAGCTTCGCTGTGCGGATGCAAGCTGGGCCACCCCTGCCATTTAGCCTTAGTGACTCAAGTCTGTGCTGGGCCAACCCTGCCTGCAATGGCTATTGGGGTGCCTGTTTAGGAGCTGTTCCATGGGGAACTCTTGAGCATTGCAGTGTGAGGAGTTTGATTTCTGTGGCATTAAAAGGTGATATTTCTACCAGGCAGAAATGAGATGGGGTCTGCAGTGAGTGCAACCTCCTGAGGACTGTGGAGTGCATTCCCTTCTGCCTCCCTTAGTGTGAGAGTAGTAAAGAATTGTCTGTGAAACCTCAAAGAGGATCAAGAGTCAAAAAAAGAATCTGTCTTGCTGTATGAAGTTTCATTATAAAAATCACTTCCCTTAAGACTACTTCCCTACTCATTCCTGGGCAATTATTTTATGCTGCTTTTTAATAGCTTGCCCCCTACCACATTTTTCTTCATGCTTCATGAACTAAACTTCTTGTCTTAGCATAAACTGTTCCCTCTCACTTGCTGCTTTGAAGGAAATCCAGGCCTGTCCAACTCTCTGGGTCCCTGCTGCCCTTCCCACTCCCACTGCAGCCTCAGCAGCCCATTCATCCCAGTGCCCACAGTACAGGGGCTCAGTTCTTCTGTACCTGGCAGAGAAGATTGCTGAGATGCCTCCAATCACCCAATGCTTTTCAACCCACTTCATTTGGACAAAGCATTAGTCATTTTGATCCATGATTGTTTTTTCTGGCTCTTTTTCTCCACCCTAGGTCCTTCGCTTCTATGCCATGTGGGATGACACTGACAGCATATTTGGTGAGAATCGGCCTTACGTCATCCATTACTACTTGGCAGATGACACAGTGGAGGTGCGGGAAGTCTACAAACAAAATGATGGTAGAGACCCATTCCCAATACTGATGAAACGTCAACGCTTGCCCAAAACCTTTGTGAAGAAAAGTAAGTTTAGATTGACCAATCCATCTGCCTGTGCTAAAGGACCTTGGTGGGTAGACACATAGATGAAGGCTGTGTCAGAGGTACACCAAGTCTGGAGAGTTTGTGCCAAGAAGACTCCAAGTGTGACTGGTTTTCATTTAAGAGTTTAAATGATCACTGAAATCTTTCTCTTCTAGGAAAAAGTGGCAGGACAGCAGTACCAACAGGTCACTTTTGTGTTCCTTTTCACTAGGAAACATTAACATCTACTTGATTAATTGCTTGATTGATTTTTTTTTCCTTTTGCTCCCTTGTCCTTAGAGACCTTCCCGAGCTGTGTGCTGGAGATCTCTGATCAGGAGGTGCTAGAGTGGTACACAGCTAAAGATTTTGCTGTTGGCAAATCTACCACCCTCCTTGGTCGCACCTTCTTCATCTATGATTGTGATGAGTTCACACGAAACTTCTATCGTGACAAATTTGGCATCACAGATTTCCAGCCAGTGGAAATGAAGAAGAAACCACTTGAGGAAGTTCCACAGGTAGAGCAAACAATTTCTCAAAGAAAGGAAGGGAAGGAAGCAGTCAGTATAAGCTCTTATAGTGAAGTATAGGTTCAGCTTAGTAAGAACCTATAGTAAACAAGTTCAGCTTAAAGAAAAGAGCAAGTAACTTGAAAAAGACAAGGCAAGAATGGTCATAATTGATATAAAAATTAAAGTTCTCTGAAACTGTTGATTTCTAATACTGCAAAGGATGAAACACTTGCTAATAGCTGTAGAAAGAATTCCTGTTATGTCTATACTAGAAGATTAAAGAGTGTCAGGGTTTGGTTGTGGCTGGGAAGCCAACTGGCACAGTCTGGCTGCACTCATGCTACTAAATTCTCCCCCACCCACCAAAGCAGGGTTGCTAAGCCCAAACTGCCTACTGGGGACAGTCAGAGCCCTTGTTACTTCCCAGACTGAACCTGGGAATGGTTTGGAGTGCTAGCTGGCCTAGACAGCAAACACCACCAGGGTTAACAGTGTAACCATATGGATGAGTTCCTGTGCGCAGGAAGGTTTCGGTTTTGGTATAGCCATAGTCTCTTTATTCAGCAAAATTACCTGGCTTTCTGACTTGCGGATTTTCTTTATTCTCTTAAATATTTCTATAATTAAGGGGTCTACCACACGGCCGGGCTACTATCACCTCTGCTGTGCAGGATGTCACAGCTATTGCTACCTGGTGACAGCAGATTGCTTTCCAAACAGATGTTTTCTGATAAGCTGTCTTGCAAACATTGTCTTATTCTTAGTTTTAGCTGTTTCTGCTTAATATCTCCTCTGGATGCAGGTAATTCCTCCCTATAACGGTTTTGGAATCCTTGAAGACTCTCTTCAGAACTGCTTTTCTCTGTTTCCAAAGCCTCCCCAGAAAGATGTAATTAAGATGCTGGAGAATGATCACAAGGTTCTGCGGTACCAGGTGGCCCTGGTAAGTGCTTGCCTTGGCAGCATAGCACCAGCTTTTGTTGTAGAGTCAGAAGGGTGAGAGGAACAGCCTGCTCAAACAAGGCTGCTAGCAAATTCTCCTCAGTGCTGGTGGGAAAAGAGAGTTCTCCAAGCCAACACCAGTGCCCTTAGGGGATGCCGTTGGGTTATTGTGTACTTGCTGTGACAATTAGTAGCCTGCAAATGTAGAAAAAAACAAGGCCAGAAAGTACAAAACAGACGGGCTACGAAACCACAGCCATTTATGGAAAAACTCCCCCTGACATCAGCATGTGACAGATGGCCCTAACTGAAACAGCATTGCAACTGGGCACTGTGCCTCTGCCTGCCTCCAGTCGCTGTCACCAGCGTGGGCTTGCTGTCTCTCCCCGCTGCGGGCTCCCAGGACCTGTCCTGGCCGCAGCAGCAGCAAGGGGCTGCGCTAGCAGAGCGGCCAAGTGCCAGCGCAGAAGCCGGGGAGTCCACGGGGACGGTGTTTTCCACCCACAGCAATGGCATGCAGGTCCTGGCCTTTGTGCCAGCTTTACAGTTGGTTTATGCAAGGAGCCTCTGGCACATCCAGCAGCAGCAATGGCATTTCCTGCCCTGCCTGGTGCCTGCCCTCTCCAAACACTCAGCGTGAGTAAGGGCTAAGTTCCTAAAGGTCACAGCTGACGAGTTCAGATCCACTTAAAACAGAGCAAGTAAACCCACTGGTGTGTCAGAGGAGTGTCTTCCTGTGACTAAGAGCTGGAAGCAGCACCAACCTCTCTCAGGCATTCATTACAATGAAAAATGTAACTAAGGCGAAATTTTACAGCTGGTCTCTCGGATGATTCATTCCATATAGGATATTCCTTTCTCTTGGATTACTCAGTCTGTGGAAACACTGAATAGACTTGGTCACTGCAGCCCAAATACTGCTTCTGTAAGCCTGACTGGAGCAAGTAACCTTGAAATTCAGATACTTAACACTGTGTAGGGCTTTGTTATGCTATGTCAGCATATCTGTAGCTTTTGGCCTAGATCAAGTGCTTTGTTTGGTCAGCTATTAAAAAACCCCTAAGAACTCTGGGTGTTTATGAGTGGGTTACTAGGTCCTCCTAAGCACCCCAGGAAAGAAAAGCCTGGTTCATATGTTCTTTTCCAAAGCCTCACTACCTTTCCTCTAGGAATCACCAAACCCCGAGGACAGAAAGCGTCGTTTCATCCTCTCTTATTTCCTCTCCAATGACATGATCAGCATCTATGAACCCCCAGTCCGTAACTCTGGCATCATTGGAGGAAAATACTTAGGAAAGACCAGAGTCGCCAAACCGGGCTCTACTACAGAGAATGTCACGTACTACGAGCCCTCTGACTTCACCATCGGTTCTACCATTGAAGGTAAAATCCAGCCTGGATCGATAATACTCTCGGAGATTGCTTTTCAGTGCCTGCTCTGGTTTGTCATTTTTTGGACAGACAGTGCATATACCTTCCTTTAACTACTAATTTAATGGGTTTAAATTGAAAGCAGGTAGATTTAGATTAGATATCAGGAAAAAATTCTTCCCGGAGAGGGTGGGGAGGCACTGGAACAGGTTGCCCAGAGAAGCTGTGGATGCCCCATCCCTGGAAGTGTCCAAGGCCAGGCTGGATGAGGCTTGGAGCAACCTGGTCTAGTGGAAGGGGTCCCTGCCCATGGCAGGGGGGTGGAACTAGATGATCTTTAAGGGCCTCTCCAACCCAAACCATTTCATGGTTCTATGATTCCTTTACTTGAAAGATCAGTTCCTTCTGGGTCTCATCACATTTAAGTTTTCAAATCACCAGCTGGTGTACTTTGGTATAACTCGGCTACTGTTAATGTTTGGACCCTTGGCATAAATAGGAAAAGAGCTATGTTCTCCACAGTATGCGTTCAGTTTGCATTTTGGGACCTGTCAGGATTTGCAGGGTTAAAGACTGCTAGACGACTACCAGCAGCAAAGGCCACAAATCTACCCTGTTAGGAAAATAAATGTAATACTGGACTACTTAGAAACACAACAGACCTAATGGGGGAGTCACTGTAGGCCCAAGCACAGGGCCTTTGCTCTCAGCAGCTGCTTTTCTTGCAGCAAAACTCCCTTTGAGTCAGTGAAGGCATTCGCACATCAAGGACTGAAACAAATAGCAGAGCTCGCTCAAACCTGAGCCCAGCCACAAGACAGAAACCATTGCTCTCTCCTGGGTGATGCAGTGACTTAGCCATGCTGAAAGGTGAGTAATGCTGCTCTCTTTCATGCCTCTTCTCCAGTGTTTGGCCACAGGTTTGTTATCACTGACGCTGATGAATATGTGCTTAACTATATGGAGAGCAATGCAGAGAGATTCCCTGCGGCAACACTGCAGTCTCTGAGGGATCATTTTCGCCCACGGCAGGTGGTAAAGGAGGCTGCCAACAGGTAGGCTTCAAAGGACAGCGTTGTGGAGCCAAATAACATCAGGGTTGACAGCGAAGGGCATTTCCAGCAGCCTCCATGGGCTCCAGCCCGCTGTCTAAGCACTGCTTGGTGGATTATTCAGCTCAGAAGCCTGTGTCTGGACACATACGGAAGGGTCAAGTGTGTAAAATACGATGTCCTGGCTGCTGCTGACCCAAAAACCTTGGGGGACAGCTCTGGCTCAGCACCAGAGGTACTTTTGGCTAAGTGGACACAGTCATCTTTTCCCAAAAGACAGCAGTTAACTGAAACAGATGCTGCTAACAGTATCTGCAGGAGCCTCTAGATGGTTGCAGGCTCAGCAGAGAGTTCTTGGAGTCTTTTTCATTCGCTCTGTCTGTGCTTATCAGCCCATCAGAACCTAGACCACATCCTCTTTTTTAACTGTCTGGACCCATTTTGGGTGACCCGGCAATGACCCTATTGCCTCACAACACACTTTGGAGTCAGTATCATGGTAGTTTAAGGGCTTTGGTTGAAACTAGAGCTGCACACAGTTCCCAGGACTGTATGGAGCACACAGGGAAACGCTCCTTGTCCCAGAGCACTTGAAGACAAAAGGTACATGGGGAAAATGTCCTGCAACGGGAAAATAATTTACCTAATGCTCCAAGATGAAGACTGAGCTTCATCTCCAAGTCCAAGCTGAGATGAGCTTGCCATAAAAACCGATCAACCTAGAAACCTGCTCTGTGTTCAGAAATACAGCGTGGCCAGCCATGGTGGGCAGCCAGCTCACAAGTGTCACAGTAAGGCTACCAAAAGCAGCTTTTACATGAAGTCCTGTTCTTCCTTTCTGCTACAGTGACATCCCCATGCTTGGGACCTGCAAGCCAGAACTGGATGAATTAATTGTGAAAGTTCAGGAAGAGCTGAAGCTCCATAAGTACTCAAACAACAAGAACGTTCGGGAAGCGTTCCTTCAGTGTGACAAGGATGGCTCTGGCATCCTGGACAAAGCAAAAGTTTTAGCCCTTTGCAACGGCTTGAGCGTGCCGACCAACACCGTTCTTCTGCACAAGGTCAGCTCTGGGGTCACCAACGTCAGAAGGATATTGACTGGTTGGAGCGAGTCCAGAGGAGGCCACGGGGAGCTTGAGCCCCTCGGCCATGGGGACAGGCTGGGAGAGTTGGGGGGGGTCAGCCTGGAGAAGAGAAGCCTCCGGGGAGACCTTATTGCAGCCTTCCAGTGCCTGAAGGGGCTTCAAGGAAGCTGGGGGGGACTTTTTACAAGGGCTTGTAGTGACAGGACAAGGGGTAACGGGTTTAAATTGAAAGTGGGGAGGTTTAGATTAGGTATCAGGAAGAAATTTTTCATGGAGAGGGTGGTGAGGCACCTGGACAGGTTGCCCAGAGAAGCTGTGGATGCCCCATCCCTCGGAGTGTCCAAGGCCAGGCTGGATGAGGCTTGGAGCAACCTGGTCTAGTGGAAGGTGTCCCTGCCCATGGCAGGGGGTGGGACTGGGTGGGCTTTAAGGTCCTCTCCAACCCAAACCATTCTATGATATCATGATAGAGATCAGACAGGCTACTGCAAAGCCACTGAGGGTCTGTCATGACTTAAGCACACCTGGGCTTGAGAAATGACACTGAGGTGCTTAGGGAATGAGACTCAGGAATGCTTAGGTGCATTCTGATTTAACAGCAACTGAATTGAAGATTCGAGAACTAAGTATTGTACCAAAAAAATAAATTATAATCGTAACCACTTGGTTAACGCAACTAAAACACAGGTTTGCTGGGCACTATGAGCACCAGCACATGGAGATCACAGTCTCATAGCAGTAAATGTGAGGGAAACTGAAGAGAAAAACTCGTGCAGTGGGGGTGCAGGATCCTTTCAGGAATATCCTTTTTTAGCATAATGCGATAAGCAGTATCTTAGTGGCCAATAATGGCAGACTCAGAGTTTAAAGAAATCTAGAAACCAGAGGGAGTATTACCCTTGCTAAAAAAAAACCCCACAAACATTTTCTAAGCCAGCCAACCATGAGTGTCACAGCTGTAGTTAGAAAGGTGCACGTCTCCAACTGTGCACTGAACAAAGGCCTTTGGCCAGCACCCAGGGCTTATCCTGCTCTAGAGTTCATCGGAGACCACTCTGCCCTGAGGAATTTACAGTCTGGTGACAGTCCTTCCTGCTTCCACCCTGGGAATGGGAGATAAAGTGATGTGCCCAAAAGCATGTGGGCAAACTGTGACAATTGAGGCTGAACCCTCATGTCCGAATCCCCATCTAGGACCTGAACGCTAAAAGCATCACTCTTCTCTCCTGAACTCTTAGTAACAGCGTGCTCAGAGCCCTCAGAAGTGTGGCAGTGTTATAAATTAAACATAGGGCAGATAGTTAGCTGCTGTCTGGGTTGGAGACGAGCACAGCTGTCAGTCACACAAGAGCAGCCCTGGTAAATCTGTCTCCAGGCGACAAGGGGAAGAAGAATCCTTTCAAGGAACTGTGATATTAGACCTTTTCCATCTCCCTGGGTGTCAGAAGGAGATTAGTTATGCAATTAAAGAAACAAAAGCCCTCTTTCTTCCCCTTAAGCACACAAAGGCTATAGCTCTGTAACGCAATGGAGGGTCAGGCACGGATACCAGAACTGGCTCATTAGTAGGGCTGTCGCCGAGCTCGATCATTTGTGTCTCCACTTTATGCCATGTGCACACACCAAAGCGACACCAGGAAACAGTAACTGTTCAGATGTGCTGCCTCCATCCCACTTTTGCCAGAAAACCCTTTCTGTGGGGTTTCTGAAAAGATTTGCTGTGGCCTCGTCAGTCTGTGGCCACGGTTTAATTTTTGTGGATCCCTGGCCACTGTGGTGATATTCAGAAGACAATCAAGATTAAACTCAAACACTTTAACCCTTCTCCTTGCATAGATTAATGTCAGCTTTCAATTGAAAGTGGGGAGATTTAGATTGGACATCAGGAAGGAATTCTTCCAGGAGAGGGCTGAGAGGCACTGGAACAGGTTGCCCAGAGAAGCTGTGGATGCCCCATCCCTGGATGTGTCCAAGGCCAGGCTGGATGAGGCTTGGAGCAACCTGGTCTAGTGGAAGGTGTCCCTGCCCATGGCAGGGGGTTGGAACTGGATGATCTTTAAGGTCCCTTCCAACCCAAACCATTCTGTGATATGCGAAAGTAATTTCTTACTCAGGTCCTGCTACATCAAAACACTTCAGCATCAAGAAGTTTGGGGTCCAGCTATTATCCATAAGGAAACAGAACTGTCATCTAATACACCTGTAACATTCTGTGAGGGAGCGGCACTGTTGTATGGGAACCCAAAATTTAGACCAGACTCACCTGGGAAATATGTTTAAAATAGTAGTAGACGTGTCAGACTCACAATTAGTACTGGCTTCACTGTGTCTGGGATGTCTGGGGATGTCTGGGATTGTCTTTTCCAATTTGCTATAGACAGCACTAGATAGGCGGGAATGCTCAGAAGTGTTCAGGAATGTTCAGATGAGCCCACCTTTCCACTCTAAGTTTGAACTTTTCCCAAGTTGCAGTAGGAAAAGTAAAGATCCAAGTAAAGACCTTTCCACTCACGCTTACCTGGGATTCAGGAATACCAAGGTGGTAGGCTCAGCATTTACTTACCCAGGGGAATAAGGTCTTCAGCTCTGTCACACAAGGAGCATCCCTGGGCACTTTCCTAAAAAAAAGAGTTTTGCAGCTTCTTCCAACTCTTTATGTTTGTTTATTTCTTTTTTTCCCAGCTGATTGACCTGTGTTCTTGTGGAGAAGACAAGATCAACTACCACGACTTCCTTAGAGCCTTCCCCGTGTGATCTTTGCCCAGAAGGCGAAGCACAAGACCAGCAATAACATTCTTAGCTGACTTGACTTTATGATGTTGTACTTCAAGAAGGATGCTCTTGTCTTCAACTCTGCTTCACTCCCTCTCTCCCTTCCATCCTCACTAGAGCCAGCTAATTTCACCCTCACTTTGCTAACTTTTTTCCCTTCCAAACCTCTCCCTGCCCCTTTAGCTACTGCTAAACTCAACCTCACAAATTGTGGATATTGAAATGAAACTCACGTGAGAACAAACTTTCAAGAACCAAAGCCAGGTTCTCCTGTTGGTCTCTCAACTTTTTAATGAAGTACAGCAAGGCTTGCTAGAGATAAAGCTTTCTAAAGCCTGGAGTGATAACCACTCTAGGTTTCTCTTAGAGAGTCAAAAGGGCCCTTTCACCTTCAAGCAGTGAAGACTGCCAGTTTAAATTATTTGTATTGCCAGAAGATCTAAGAGCCCTGTCATGGACCACGGTAAACTCACACTTGCTAGTCTGAACGTAAGAAAATCATGCCTGGCTGCTATTAAAGTGTTAGTAAATCTGCTTTAAATACAAATACCTCAATGGCTGGAATAGCGAAGGATTAAAGTGAGAGAGGAACAAAAATCCCACAGAATGGATTCTGAGTTTACCTCTCACATAGCTACGGAGGTGGCAGGGGTCTGTGCACCAGTCTGCTGACAGCAGCTCTGCGTTTTTTAACAACAGGTTGGAAGAATGGTTTTAGGACTGAGATAACCACCTAAACTCCACTCTCACAACCTGTCAGCTTACCAGACAGGTCCAAGGAAAATGGAAATCTGGCAGTTGGCATAGCAATGGAGTTACGACACTTGTGCTCCCCTTGAGAGTCACGTTGCTCATCGCTCCGTGAAGGTAAACGTGGCAGGGACCTCCTCACCTCAAATGACACCTGCCAGGTATTGCCATTGAGCACATCTCACAGGCAGCTGCCACACACTCAGCAGAGAACAAAGCTCTTTGGAACAAAATGCTTATTTAAATCAGCTTTTGTGCTGTGGGTGCCCCCTTCCCCACAGACGGCTGAGCGTCTCCACATGACAGCTCCTTCCTGCTTCCTCTTGTTCGGAAAGGTCACCCTTTCTGGGCCTGTTTTGTGCTGCTGCTCGCTCTGACCGAGAATCTCTGCAGCTCTTTCAGGTCCATCTCGGATTTCACAGCATGGCTTGGCATCGCATGAGGTGCCTTCTGAGCAGCAGCTGACAAAGGCTAACTTCTAAAGGACCCCTAAATCCGCTTCTCCAGAGACCAAGAACTTACAGGTGAAATTGCTGGAGGTGTAGGCTGTGAAAAAGAAAGTCAGAAACTGTTTTCTACACATGCTGTAGAAACTGTAACCTCATACTCAGCCGAATCATGTAGCAGGCCCAGGGCCAGCTGCAGAAATATGCAACTTAGCTCACCATAAAGCCTGCACCTAAACCACATCAGATAAACGATATCCTACAAATGCCCTTACCCTCCGCTCCCAACCATGAAGGCAGCCACAGATAACTCACCCCAAACACACTGCCCACGCTGTAGACATGGGAACTGCGAGCAGATGAACCCCAGCTGTAGGGAGTCAGGAGGAAATCCTTCCTGCAGAGGGTGGGGAGGCACTGGGACAGGTTGCCCAGAGAAGCTGTGGATGCTCCATCCCTGGAAGTGTCCAAGGCCAGGCTGGATGAGGCTTGGAGCAACCTGGTCTAGTGGAAGGTGTCCCTGCCCATGGCAGGGGATTGGAACTCGATGATCTTTAAGGTCCCTTCCAACCCAAACCATTTTGTGATCCTATGAATAAAAGGACACGAGATGCTGCACCGAACGGAACAGGGCAGGCTGGTAAAGGCAGGAGAGAGACAAGTACAGCCCACTGCAGCTTTCTTTGGAAATGCACACAGCTGAGCAGAGTGATCAAGTACCAGCGGACTGCAGTGATGGAAGAATCTATGCCTTTTATTTATTTATTTCAGAAAAATACTTTTGTAGAGTTTATCACAAAAGTCACTGAACAACAAACAACAACAAACAAAATCCGTACAAAAAAATTGTGACAGGAAGAATGAAACAAAAGGGATAAAATATCAGAGACTGTTACTTCCCCCCCACCCCCTCCAAAATGAGGAAATTTGCACTAAAGCATAAATATGTAAGAACAGAAATTTTCCTCGAGTTCCTTTGCTTAAGCTTGGTCCGTCGAGTTCAACATATTCAAAGAAGAACTACTTGCCTCTGCCTGGCTTTGACAACAACCACTCTTCCCCGCTGCCAGCAAAACCCCACACACAGCCCCGAGGCGAAGTGACAAACTTCACAGCTTGAGTACAGAGCCTGCCAAACCATCGTGGAGTTTACCAGAAGGTTGTAAATCAAACCCCATAAACTCCATCTACTGTTGACGCAAGTCGGGGTCCACCTACCAAGACTTTGTCTACGGCAAGAGACGGAGGCTGCCGTAAGCCCCCCCCACTGCAGCAAAGGCAGGGCAGCTACAGGCTTCAAGAGTCCCTTGGAAGCAAGGGGGAGGCATCCTAGAGCAGTCGTCCTTCCCTCCAACTGGGAAGCCTACCAAAACCACATTTAAAAATGGGGAGTTAAGGGTACAGAGACCTACAGGGGAACTGGAACTTGTCTTCTTTACTACTAACTCAAACATGATGAGTAAGAAGAATCATGAACAAACAAACAAAAAACCCCAAAACACGCAACTGTAATGCCCCATAAGAGTTGCTCAAAAATTATACGTGAAATGCTACATCTGTTGTTCTGCCCCTTTCTCTTTGCAAGCCCTTCCCCAAGTATCTAAGACAAAAAAGAGACAGCTACCACTGGTATTTCACAGCTCTTCTAGGCTAGGGCAGGCAAACCCCATACTTCACACCAAAAATCACAGACTACTCAATCCCAGACCTTCTCTGGTTGGATAATGGACACAGGCTACAAAAGCAGCCTCAAGCCCACAGGAAGGGTACAAACAAGGGCATTGCACGGAAAGTAAGGACACACAGCTTTCCATAGTCTAACACCTTCCGCACCGTGGTGTAGAAGAGCTCCTGTTTGGGGTTGGGTGTCCCTTGCAGAAGACATGGGGCTTGACAAGACGGGGCGCGAGAAGAGCATCCACTCAAGGAAAGTGGGCTCTCGGCATCTTTGTTCGCAGAGCGGTCAAGGAAAGCCTGACCACTAAGGGCTTGCAATGAAAATACTTTGTTTGGGAAAGAAAAAGCTCTTTGGGCTGAAGGCTCGGTCTGCTGCGAAATGACATGGATGTAGAAGCAGTTACTGCAGGCTTTTAGATGAGGGGTGGTGCCTGCACTAGAAGAGAGAGACACAAGCAGCCCGTGGCAGCCCCTCCAACAGAGAGTGGATTGCAGACCTCTGGGATGACAGCGCATATTGCCTTGCAGAAAAAGCTCAGCTCAAAAAAAACCCCAAAATCCCAGGGATCCTGCCACGTTTGGGTATAACAGGAGAAGGATGGGGACTTCTGAATATAGGGGAGGGCAAAAAAAGCCCTATCAGCTATAGGTTTAAAAAAAATTAGAGAAAAAAACCCCCACATGGAAATGCTTCCAAACTAAACTGTCCCTTTTACTGGTACTCTATCAAAAAGAAAACCAAAAAAGACATAAATGTAAGCATATGTTGTACATACATTGTAAAGAGGGAGGGCAATCAGCTACTGACACAGTACACGGAGACTACACGGCAACGTAAGGCACTTGGGATACACAGCATAATAACCTACTTTATGAAGATGCAGGATTGTGCAAGTGGAAAAGCTGCCTGGAGCGAAGCGGGCAGGAGGAGGAATCGTTCAGCAGCCAGTTTTTTTTTGGGGGGGCTGTATGTGTCCCCTGTGAACAGAGTCAACACCTCCGCTGCTGCAAGGCACTGGCTTTGCAGAAAGGACCGGCTGAGGCTCTGGAGAGGTGCCGGCCAGCCATCGCTCTCGGAGGGCGCGTGGCAGTGGATGGCTGGTGATGGGAAGAAGCAGGAGAAAGGAAAAACCTCTCACACTAGACCTTTCCCACGTCCTCCCTAACATAAAGCTCTTTCCTCCCCACTCATCACATTGCACTGTGGGTATTGTCGCTGCCTCTGAGGCAAAATGTGTGTTATCTACCCAGCAAGAGGAGCAATCGCAAGATGCCACCAATGGCTCTGGTCTAAGGTCTCCCTCCCAAGCTTCCCTGAAAAAGAGGGAGTCGCTCTCCTGCAGACTGACACTCACAGGTCGTGGGGACGGGGAAACAAGTGGAATTTGGCCAACTGTCCTCACATCCCTGTGGATTTTCTCCCTTTGGTGCCAGGGGCTCGACAAGGAGAGGGGGAGGGAGGGAGAAAAGACACCTACAGGAGGAAAAAGCCTGATCCAACTCAAAAAGGGGCAGAATATCAACGATCACCCATCTCCCAAAACACAAATGATGTGAAGGACAACTGTGCTGGCCTCAAGCTAGAATTGCACTTGGAGAGAGCCAGAGATCAGCTGCCCGAAGGGCTGAGCAAGGGGCACGCCAAGGACCACACCGGCAAGGAAGGTGGACCTCAAGCCTGGCCCGCATATCGGAGAGCACCCCGGCTCCCCGCAACCCTGCGCGCCCTCTTCCCGCCCAGCCCCGGGAGCACCCCGCTCGCCTGCGCTGGCGAAGCAGAGCTAAAGCTACAGCTGGCTTCGCTGCACAAGAGGCACCAACAGCAAAGCCCAGCTACGGACACTGCCCCGAGGAGAGCTGGGGGGTGAGGGGTGCCCGTCGACTTCACGCCTACCACCTCAAGACTGGTGCATGGCACCCCAAAGCAGCTCACTGACCCACGAAACCCCGGGCAGGAGATGCTGCTCCCCAGCAAAGAGGCGGCAGGGGACCGAGCCGGTGGGATCTGGGATTCCCACGAAATCTGCCAGCATGTACAGGTGGCAGCGGGCAGGAGCAAGAGGGAAAAGTGGTCTGCAGCAAGATGGCCTCTGAGGTAGATCTGAGACAACTCCACCTGCCAACAGCTATGCGACACAAGTCAGGCTTTTCCTAACACGCAAGC